GATACACACCAAGGATGTTTTCTGTCCTTTTTTTTACACCCTCCTTCTTTCTGTTGTTATTTGTCTTAATGATAGTAAAAAAAAGAGGTGTCTGTAGGGATTCTAGCCTAGAGCCTACTGCCTGACATGTCCCAGCTGACTGGCATGATTCTTTGCAGGCGATAGCCTGTTTAATGGACATGAACGCACTACTGGATCGCTTTCACAACTACATCTTACCGCATCTCAGAGGGGAGGACCGCGTCTGTCACTGCAACTGTGGGAGGTAAATGCCACCATCTTCCTACGATCATTAGGATCAACATGCTGTTGTTGCGTTTGTGTGTGTGTTGACGTGAGGGCGAGTGTGTACGCGTGTGTGTGTTTTCCTCCTCTCTACACCGTCAATTCTTAATTGCTGGAGAAGAGGCCTGGAAGATTTGTGTCGGTGTGAAGCCTCTGCGATGTCTGTGGCTCTGCTTTTCCCCCTCCACATAGCAACTGGAGCTTTTCTGATTCGACACCGACTAATGATGAGGGCACGTTTAGGGCAGGATCTGCATGTATGCACGGGCTATTGGCCGTTTCTCACTGAGGGTTTTAGTGAAGATTTTCTGCAGTATACAGTTTTTACAGGCAGGCGAAGGTGTCGGAGCCATAAATAAGTAATGAACTACGATGGCCGTTCAAAAACAACCGGAGCATCAAGTGTGTGTTCCACACATGCGGACTCTCATACACGTATGACTAATTTCTCAACACATATGAGGTCGCAGTGGGATTTCTAGAAACGGACTGCTGCTTATCAGTGTGTAATACATGCAGGGGCGGCTCTGGGTTTTATTAGGGCCCCGGGAACCTCTCCACACACGCAACTTACCCAACGTTTTAGTCAATCTATGAGGTTTTTGAAATAGGTTGGCTGCCTTTTACCTATTTTGACCATTAAGGTTTAGCATTTTGTGTTTTATGCTGCCTTTTAATCTTTTTGGTCGAAATATTTTGTTTAAGAAAAGATAGGTAAGAAATTAAATTTCTTACCTATTTTTGGTTTATATTAGATTTAATCTTCTATTTGCAATATTTATGTTTAATTTTAGTTTAATGAAGGGGCAATGTCAAACTTTAACCCAGTTTGCTGTTTGTGTCTTATTTTCATTCCCCCCAATACACGTTATATTATCACATGCCTTACTTTAACACAATTACATTACGACTAATACTGCTCTGTTATTAGTGTGGGTTTTGTGCTTCTCATAACTAGTTTTCTTTTTCTTCTTTTTTTAGCTAACCTGTGGCTAACATCTAATTACAATATCTATTGGCTATGCTACTTGTGGACATGTACTGAGCTAACTTTAATATATAATTACGCATTTTTCTACTCTGTTGGCCCCATCTTTGGCTAGTTAACGTATGCGATGACTTACTTATAGCCAGGCACATATTTGTGGACTAATCCATTGGAAATTCTTAGCTGTTTTTAATCTTCTGACTAACCTTATACTAAGCTCACTTAATTTTTGTTTATCTTTTTTCTCTCTTTGTTGTCAATCTTTACCTATTTTTTTGGTAAATGTCTTAAGATTAATGGATGTTTTTAAATTTGTAAAAGAAACAGTATAAGTGCAGTGTGTGTAAGAACAATAGCTCCCTGTTTAGTTTTTTATTTTTTATTTTCTTGTTATTCTACTGGATATGTGGAACTATACACCAGTGCTTGCCCAACGTTTGATCACTAAGAAGTCATATAATAAATAGCTGCTTTCTTTAATGAGGTTATTTGAAAACTTGTGCACTAAGTACACTCATTCATCAAACAAAAATGCCTCTTTCTAATTGCATAAAGTTATGAATATTTAAAATAAATGGCAATAATTCAGTCAGTCATGCTTCCCATGATTGATTTACAAATCCAATCACAGTCATTCATTTTTGTATCCCATTGTTTCTGTAGACATAGACAGAAATACAACATAATAACACAAACCTGGTGACAATCGATTAGAAGATAAGATACATTAGAAAAGACTTTTAAAATCCATGTGGAGTAGACACATCTTCGTTGTTGTTTTTTTACATAGAAAATTATGTTCTTTAAAATAATTAAAAGCTGGAAGAGTGTCAGCTTGGAAACATAAAACAACAAAGAGGAACATTCACTTTTGAAAAGGTTTTTAAAAAAGGACTATACAATAGGAACAGAACTAAGTTTTGTTTGTAAAGAAAAATTAAAAACAATAATTCTTACCATTCTCTAAAAAGCCTGTAAACAAAAGTGGCAGTTCGCATAAACATAAACAGTGAGGAAGCACATACTTAAGTTTGAAGAAAGACAAAGTGGAGAAGGCGATACAATAACAAAATATCTGGGCCAAAGAAAGCAGCATTAAGACTTGGCCACAAGACTTTTGGCTGCTCTGGTTTCTAAACATCAACATCAATTATACAATTCATTGAAAAAAAACAATTTTGTTTATTTCCCTCCGATGATTGGTATATACTTTATATTTTATATGTGACATTTGTATTTATTTCGTACCTGTGTAATTGATCGGCAACAACTTGAAGTTCTCCTCTTTTTAATTTTTTTTGGAATTGTTTAAAAAATATTCAATATTGAGTAGAATGTGAATCTATCATTTTGGTCGAAGTAATTGTGACAGGAACTGTTGTACCGTGGTTAGTCTCTGTGGCACTGGAGGCTATGGCACACTCCTGAAACATGATTTCAAATAAAAAGGGTTTGCAGCTATTATATTTAACCCTATAGTGTGTTCAGATATTGGATCTTTGTAGCCTGGTTTCCTACAGGCAACACAGCCACAGAATGAAGACAGATGTCACTGTTCACCTCAGCGCAATTTAAAGAGATGCATGGGGAACTAAAGCAGCAGTCTGTAGTGTGCATACTGCAGTGAGGGGGTTGATATAGACTCCTAGCAGGTTGTTAGCAGCATTAACAGGCCACTTCTGTGTGTTGAAATGCAGGAATCCCTTATATATAGGTGCAGTAAAATGTGCTATGAGGAGGAAAAGTAGGAAAAGAACCGCTGCTCCTTCTGATCTGTATAGATTTCGATGTGTATGGAGAGAAGGGATTATTTTGTAGTCGTGCACCACTGACCATCCTTGTTTCTGTAGTGCTGCAAGGTTGTAAATGAACAATGCAGAAATGATCGTTTGTCCCTGATAATTGTTGTTTAATTCACAGCCACTCTGTGCTTTAAATAAAACATACTAATAAAGCTCTGCCCCCCCCCACTCACCCACCCACCTCCCCTTTATTAGTTACAGGTTACTGTAATCACACCTCACTGATGTGAAGCTGGCTGTAGTTAACACTTTAACAGAATTAAGGTGGAACAGAGAGAGGGATAAAAGGGGAAAAAAATCCCATCTGTACCTCGTGGTTATTTGTCATTAAATAAAGAAATGTATGCGATATTTGATCATTCTTTTATCTCTTTATCATCTGTATAGAGACACTGAAGCAACACAGATGACCAGAAATCTGAGTTGATGGTCAAAAAACAGGGGTAAATTAAAGGAACATTGTGTGGGATTTTGCATCCAGTGGTCAAGTAGTGGTTAGAAAGTTTTTTAGAATTTCTTTAAACCAGTGATGGTTATTCAGGATAACAGTAACAGTAATTATTGGTGTTTTTTTATACTTGCACAGTATTTGAATTTAAATTCACCTGTGCTGCCTGTGAGACAGCCATGTGACAACCAACAGCATTTTAAAGAATTTATAAAATACTTTTGCCAGTGTACATGTCACTCTGCTGTCCAAGATGTCAAAACGGAACAGATCTTTCAAAGAACAGCGTGATCGTATGTACTTTAAAAGTCTACACACTCCTGGAGCAAACATGTTCTTTCTGCTGATTGGAGAGATGGAATATTAGCTTTTTTGAACTGTAATTTTCTAGTGTTTTGTCTTACTTTTACTCACAGCCTTGTCTTTATTTATTGAGAGAAATGTTTTACTGTTAATGGACCTCGGGGGGAGGCACAGTTCGGGTCAGTGAGCTTTAATAGTGAGGTTTGATCCCTCATGTGGCCATACGTCTTCAGTAAGATACTTAAGGTGCTGAACTGCAGGATCAGGGTTTTTTTTCTCTCCAGATTTAGTATCGGTGTGTGTTTCTGCTCAGCACTCCCTGGAATCAGCTGCCATTCAAAGAGTGTAGGTGGATTTTTCTCTTAGTGAAGTTGCATTTCTGTAGGTGGAGATTTATTCTTTGTGCACAGCTGGTCATGATTCTCACTCTGTCCTCGGTTTATGTCCAAAAAAATAAACATTATTTCAGTTGGGATCTTCAAAACCTCCTGTCAGTCAGCAGTTGAGATACGCAGCAGTTGGAAATGTTAATAATAATTTAAAAAAAAGCAGGGCGGGGTAAATGAACTTCAACATTGACACGGTACAGACAGTAAGCATCTAATGAAATACACTGTCATTTTGCATTACAGAAATTAAATTGCCACTGCACGTTTGTGTGTGTGGGTGTTGTTTGTATAAACCGGTGCCTGGAAGTTCTTCAATTTTCAGAAGTGCAAGGCTGAGATGCCGGAGCACTCAATAAGGAACATTTTGGGAACAGCTTTCAGGAACACACGCATCAGTCCAAAGCCATCAGAGTAATATCCTAAAGTGTGCAGTGTTGGAGTTTGTGTTGACAGCCCTCACACACTTCTTGTACTGTATTTGTTGAACAGTAGCTGGCGTAACATTGGATCTGTGCTGCGGCCAGTGGGGCCAGTGTGAGTGGCAAACAGGAACCCTTCTGTGTTTTTGCTGCTTTAGAAATAACCTAAAGTGGGACAAATATAAAGTGGGGAATTTGCCAGATACGTAACTGAACCAATATCAGAATTTTCTGAAACATATAGTGACACTTGATATAGGTGTTACTTTAAATGCCCCATATTTGTGTGAGTTCTTTTTTAAAACTACTTATGGTGGACAGTTGGCAATGTGTGGTCTATATTTGGAAAACGGGAACAGGAATAGATGCCTAAATGTCTAGGGAAGTGTCCATTAAGCAGGGGAAGACAAATGAATGAATGAGTGCACGAATAAATGAATGATGACATGGAGAAATCTTTGAATTCAAATGATTCTGTGCTTAGATTTTTCACATGTTTACAGCATATATGAGTTACTTAGGTCATTTCTTTGGTTTACTCCATCCCTGTTTTGGACTATTTTACAACAATAATAATTAATATAAATGACCATTCATATATTATAGGTTACATTTATTTTAAGTATCTTTGTACAAAAAATTCTAAAACAATTCTGTTATTCCGCACGCCAAAAATGATCTAACAGACGTTTGTGAGTCTTTGGGAATGACTGGAAGTTAAGTGTTTTCTGTACAGTTGAAGTGTCACCCCTTTATACTCTCCTCACCATCACCTCCCGTCTGTCTCCAGACATCACGTCCACTATGTAATCCCGTACGATGGGGACCATTCATTGGTGGACTCGTCAGAGAACTACTTTGTGAGTGACAGTGTGACCAAGCAGGAGATGGACTTGATGCTAGGGCTGCTGCTGGGTTTCTGCATCAGTTGGCTGCTGCTGTGGCTGGACGGAGTCCTACACTGTGCCGTCAGGGCCTGGAGGGCGAGTCGCTACTACGGTAAGATTACCACTGCTGACCATTGACAAAATGTCAGCTGATCTTTGTTTATATGTGTGTTTTTTAATCTGCGGTAAACAGCCTGATCTGTCATTAAACAGTTCAGATCTATGATCGTTGTCTGTTCAGTAAGTTATTCCTGCACCATTAAAGGGTTGCAGCCAACGGCAAGTTTCTATTAAGACACAAGGGCTACAAACATGCTAAGTTCATCATTAACATCTAGACGCAGGCTGGATGTGGGAGGTTTGTGGGCCAGAAGTGGTCCCCGGGCCTGCAGTTTGAGACCCATTTATAGAGGAATTGGTAAATCCACATGTGTAATCTACTGTATACTTCCAGCCTCTCTTTGTCTGTAATAATATCCAAAGTGTCATTATTGTACAAATCTATTCACCTAAAGCCACATGAAGTTGCTGGAACAGAAAACAGGTCTCAAGATTTATACACATCAATGCACAAAGCCAAACATGAACAGAGGATGAATAGATGACTAAAGGAGTGATGGGATTCTCAGTCATACATCTTACTCGTAAAAGTGTAAATGTCAAATTAAACAGGACGTTTCCACCATGCATCTGCGGGGAACAAAGCCTCTGCCAGGTTTTACACAGCAGTTAGTGAAGTTCAAAATGACCTTCCCTTGTTGCTTGTCCTACTTTTGGCTTGTCTCACTGTTTTTTTTCTCTTTGTGACTTCTTGGGGAATCACAGATAAACCCCTCTGACTGTGTGAAGTTTCAGACGTGAGCTAAACTAAAAGGTTGTTTTTTTAAATCAAAGTCTTCCTTTTAAATGTAAATTACCTCAAGAACAAATGTGCACTTCTTTGTTGTCAAAAGCCGCTGCAATTACAGGGCAACAAAAATGTGACAAAGAAGAAAATAATTTCAACTATTGCCTGTACTCTGCATATTAAATTTTAAAATATTTGGTATTTGGACACTCAGCTTGTACATGAACTAGCACCACAGTTGGACATCAGGAATGGTGACGTCTGTCTGTGTGTCCCAAGTAATATAGCGTTTCGTTGTCATTCACTGTTGGAGTCTACTTCTTAGTATGAGAAGTGAACGAGAGTCCAAGGGCATGCTTGTTAGTGTAAGCCACCAAAGAAAGGGTAGATTAGAGTCACCAAGGGTAAGACTTAAAGTCCAAGATAAAAACGAAAAAGGTGAAGTTAAGCATGTTGAGTTGAGGAAACGCGGCCTTAAAGTCTGGGATAGAATCAGTAACAGAAAAGTTCGAGCACATTCTGACTTTCTGAGGGTTCAGTCGTTAGAAAAAGTCACTAGATAAAGTTAGATTAAATGGTCCACATGGTTCTATGTCATATAGAAAAATAATAATTTCTTTGACTCATCAGTACTACACTGAGCACAGTAGCACTGCACACTGAGTGACCTCAGTCTGAAGGGTCATGTTGCATATCATCCATTCTTTACGTGACCATAAGACAAGACAAGAGGAGACAGATGTCCCAATTTTGTGCTGGGTGAGGCGGAACACGTTCAGGATCAAATGTAAACAATGCATAAACCAACAACCTTGATGACAGAGCCAGCCAGAGGAAAGGACCAAATTGTCAATCGCTATAGTGAGTGGCCTGTGACGGCCCTCAGCTGCAAGAAGGCTTTCAAATGACAAAGCAATTAAACGTTTCAAATACAAGGACTGTATATCAACACACACTGAAACCTGTAGCATCTTTATTCACATCAATTACATGTTACATTAATATATTATAATGTCAACAATGATGCAAAAAAACCAAACCAGGGAGCCAGGGGTTGAACTGAGGTTACATGCCAGTGTGTCCCTGTGCAACCCCAGGTTGCTAATTCGATTCAACCATAGAAGACCACAGCCTGCTAGTCCTGAATACCTGTTCTAAACCAGGTTAAATTAAGAGATTTGTATGAGTGGGGGCATCCAGCAAACGAGAAGAAAAAAAAAAATATTTGCGGATTTGCCACTCTGGTGACCTCTGAAAAAGGCAGCAGCTGAAAGCCATCCGTCTTGTGCTGTGACCTGCCAGGTGTTTTCTGTATTAGTCAGATTGTAAATAAGATGGACGACGCCGTCTCGTGGCTGACGTCTTGCACCGGTGACGTCATCAGAGGCCAGACTGTGGCGACTGTGAGGTGAAGCAATGAAAAAGTGTGGACCTGCAGCTCCAACTACTCACCCAGACCAATGAAACTCTGCTGCTAATCGTGACTTTTCATACTTGTAGTATGACACCACAAACCAAAACGACATATAACTTATTACCAGTGGCATCTGACTGTTTGTGAAAACACCTGCATTAAAATAAAGAATTTTGGCCCTACTAGGAGACTAGGCTACACATCAACAGTGTTCTGACTGAAATAGAATCCCCACCAGCAGCAGTGAGGCTCACTTGAAATTGATTATAATTTTTTTAATCTCCTCTGAAATTTCCCGACGTATTAAGATGAGTGATTTGGCTACTTCTTTCAAACATCGTGATTACCTTCAAACAAATGTCTTAAATATACTGTAGTATGTCAATACTTGGTGATGCTGATGGTCACATGCACAACACCGCAATCAGGCCTTAAGGAAATAAAATAAAAAAATAAAACACCCTTCACCAGAGCAAGAAGTTCAAGACTAAAAACTCTCCAATTAGTAATACACCTCAGTTAAATAAATCATGGATACTCTCCAAGAGGTTGGGGTCTGTAAAAGCAGATCAAAACAGTCTGAGCTGTTCATTCTGTTGTACAGATTCTTTTAGGGCCAACTATCAAACCTATAGCACTCCAGTCATGGCCTAAAATATGGACATGAATGATTTTATGTGATGACGATAAGAGCTCTTTGTGAGCTCTTTCATTAGTCGACCAACAGAGAAATTCAAACCAAGTTCTGTAGCTAGACTGCTGCTGCCGTGGCTTCGGACAATAACAAATTAAATTTAGTTTTCACTCTTATTTTTTTGTCTCTTCTTCCTTATTATGCACCTGCCTTATGCCAACAGAAACGCCTTAAAAACCCAACCGTCTATGCGATATCAGCAGTCTTCTTAGATCACATATACACCGGGCAACATAAATCTAATAAATTTGGCAAGGAGATTAATAGTAATGGACTCAAACTGCACAATGCTGACACCCAGCCAATCACAGGCTACGACAGGAGTCCTCACCTGTGTCAGCAACTGCAAAATGAACAGCGTTTGCACCTGAAGGTGGGCCGTTGACCCATAAGTGGGTTTCAGGAAAAAATGTGAAGATGGCAGGAGTGGACAAAACCATTAATACTTTCCAGGTTCACGTTGGTCCAGCTCTGCACCAAGACATTCTTTCATTTTGTGCTACCTCTGCATCTTGGCTAAACTGCAGCTTGGTGTTGGCAGAAAAAAGAAAACTGCTACATTAAGTTCGTTGAAAGGACGAAAATATACTGTTACTATCACTTTACCTTCTTTGTTACCAATCGGCTTAAACACATGGAGTACAGCTAGCCCAGATGTAGCATAAAGGCGTTATTGTACTTCAAAGTTTGGGTCCACTGCACAACTCAGGTTATTGTTATTGTAGTCTGATCATTCAACCATCGATCGTTATTGTTCTGCAGGTTGTCCAGCTCAGTATTGTGGCTAATATGGTAAATAGTGTCATCCTACATTTTTGTCACCACCGTTTGTCTAGATTTCCCCAAATTGGTACAGTGTACACCAGCCATTAGGCTCACTTTGATCTGTAGAAATAAATGTGGAGAAGACGCATGTGTGAAAGACAAGCCATGCACAAAGCTCCAGAGCTCAACAGAGCAGTGAAGACTGGGAGCCAGGGTGACGTGCTGACCCAGTTACCACAGCTAACTTAGATACTGAACCTGTGGCAAGAAAATTCAACTATATAGGAATATACTGTAGGTCTTTCTTATAGCAAATTAATTGTCATGCTAACATTTAGTTCAGTTGCTACTATCAGTGGATACAGTATGTGGTTCCTCTAGGAATCAAACCCCGGACTCTCTGCTCTCTGCTTGCAAGGCAGGCGTGTTAACCACTACATGATATTTGTTGAATATTTTAATTGTTTAAATCATCTTCTCACTTAGAGGCAACATTTCCCAAATCTCTCCAATTGTTGAAAAGTGAATAAAACGTGTGGTCTTACCAAAGCAGTATTTAGACTTTGTTTACTACTATTTATGGTTTACTACTATTTATGGTTTGCATCTAGCTGCCCTTGATCCGCCGCCCCCGCCCTCCCCATCAGATTTTGGGACCCACTGTGGCCAGAGATCACATACAGAAGTTCTTAATAATCTAATATGCTTGTGATGGTTTGATACTAATATCCTCAGCGTTATAAGGCTGCTGCATATGGCCATGGTAGATAGAAGATAGGATAAGATAAGAAGATAAGATGGGAGTTCTATGGACATGCTGCTTCACACCAGGATATAATGGGAACGCCACATGATAGGTGCTTATTCACCTGCATTGTTTATGGTGTTAGTTATGACCTTATGTTAGGCTGTCAGAGATATTGATTAACAGATACTAATCTGTTTAAATGCCAAACTGAAAAAGAGACGAGGATACACGCAGTTGGTACAAACCAACAATGTGACCGCTGGTATTGACCTTCACAGACGGAGGTGATGTATGTCTACATAAAGCTAATTGAAGATTTCAACAGTGCACACACACACACACACACACACACACTGGTTTTCACAGGCTCACTAAAGAGCCTGTGAAAACCTGCATATGTTCGGTGTTCTATATCACACCTTTTAAATGTTCCATTTTGGATTTTGTCAAAATATAAGATGATGGATTCATTTTTTTGGTGGAGGGCGGAGCCTGTATTAGACAGGCAAGATGAAGGGCACTCATTGGCTGGCTCTGATCCTCTCCAGATTCTCCTGGTATTTAGAGGTTATGAGGTCACTCAGATATTTACCAGAGGTTACACTGACATGGGCAACATCCAATAGGACTCCTGATTAATAAAGAGCGCACGTCACCTTACAAATACAAATACTGTAGATGAAATAGAAGCCAATAGAACAACTATTCACAGATAATATCTGGCTCGTGAGTTTGTTGCAGACACAAGTCGGATGAAAACACAATGACACTAAAACCAGTGATTTACTATTAAAAGCATATTCACCAATTCCATTATGTCAACACGGTGAATTACAGTCTCTCACACAGACTCCTTGACCCAGCTGGGATTCATCTTTTCAGTGAAACTGCGTACACCAAGCACATCTTTTTCAAAACAGGATTTAGGAGAGACTCAGGCTGGATACAGAGTGCGCTCTCAGCCTGTCTTATTGAGGTGGCCTGGATCCCCAGTTTTAACAGTAAAGCTAAAGTAGGCGATATGTGACCTGAATACTTGCATTGTCACAGAAAAGCTCTTGAGGCAAGGATAGAAAATATCATGCAATTATCAACCGCACTGATATTGTTGTTGGGGAATGAAAAATATAATGGTGATGTAATGTTTAAAAAATTCTTGTTTTGCTTTTTCTTTTTTTTTGTCCTTGGATAAAACCACTTTTTGATAGTTACAGGAATTTACTGTGAACAGAGGTGTGAAAGGTTTTGCAGCAAACAGTGAAACAGTGCTGTGCAATTTTCTACAGTGCAGTACACAACAGCATGAAATACATCATCAGGAGAGAAACCCAGAGAGGGGGAGCATTAATGTGTATCAGCAGCAGCAGCAGCAACAGCAGCAGCAGCAGCAGCAGCAGCAGCAAGAGGATGAATATAGGTTTTTCTCAATTGTACTGCAAAGAGACAGAGAATTTCCCCATTTGCTCTTTGAGTCTTTGTGTCTAGGGGTGTGAGTGTGCATGGCTGTGCGTATGTGGTCTGTGACGTAGGTCATACTGGTACGGCCTTCCTGGGATGAGCAGTGAAGGTGAGGCTGACACAGGAGATAGTAAGAAAGAGAGAGAGAGAGAGAAAGTGCTGTATGTGTGTGTGTGCGCAAGTGAGTTGGGGGTGCAGGATGGAGATGCTGTCACATCCCCACCCCCCATTTGCGCGCACACACAAACACACACACACTCTTTTCTTTCTCTCCTTCTCTCTCTTGTCTTTCTCTCTCAGTAGATCTATAAATAGAATGAGAAAGCAGCTGGAATGGCAAGTGAGGAAATGCAAACACACACACACACACACACAAACTGAATTCAACTTCTCGTTGCTTATTTTTCCCTTCTAATTTCATCTCCAGCGCTCCCTCTCTCACTTATTGAATCTCCTCCTGGCCATTTCCTCTAAAGCGCTTCCTGCTGCAACTTCTCCAAACCAAATCTCCTTTCATAGAAACGCATGGAAAAGAACAACACAAATTTAAAAAATGTTTCAAAAATGTAAAAAAAAAGAAGAAGATATCTAGAGTTATTGCTGATGGTTAATCTCTTCTGTTCTTCTTCACGCAAGGGAAAAACCTGTGTCTCTGTCACCCGTGACCTGTCCTGTCCCTCCCCCCTGACTCCCACCTTTTATTCCGATGCCTTTGTTGCCCCTCTTCCTTTGGATACCCTTCAGAGCAGTCCTTGTGGACAACATACTCACTCACAGCTATAAATAACTCTTCTTTCCTTCCTTCCTTCTGTCTCTCCTCACCTCTCCACCCCTCCACCCAACACCTCACCCCATCCTCCCGGCTCCAGCACATTACTCCACACTCCCATCCTCCAGCAGGAGCACTGGCTCCGGATTTTACTGTCTCTGGTTGTTTCCACCTTCATGTGTTCCCGTCTCTGTGGACCTGGTCATGGCCCGGGTTTATAACCTGACTAACATGAATGGTTGCTCCGCTGTTCACGTTGTAAAACACACATTCATGAATTTTGTGTTCAGACAGACTCAGGCTTTTTACAATGGGTCTGAGGTTCGTGGTTTTAAAGCCTGTGTATTTATTTTTTTTGCTTGTGTTATTTGTCTTGCTCCTTGGAATGTGATCACATGATACAATTGAGACATTAGTTCTCATCCTGGAGGAAGCACAGTTAAATATTTAGCAGCCATGACAAACCTGGTGTCGCCAACACTAATCTTTTTTTTTTGTCAGTGGTCTGCATGTGGAGCATAAACCTAAAAAACAGACTCCTGCCCACCATTTAATGTAATACATATATTAATATGTCTTTTACTCCTTTTTTACTTTTACTCCAAAATTCGAATCATTTCTCTCTTGCCTGGTGTCCGTAGCATTAACCAAACCCAATTTTCTTTTTTCTTAAAAAAAAGAAATTGGTGTTGTTGATTGGATGCTAGACAATCAAATTTGTGCACGATTACAAATGGAGTACATTAATTGGTAGTCAAAAATCATTGGCTAAGACAGTAGCCATAAAATAACTAGTATACCCAGAGATTGCTAAAGGTCGTCCAAAAATAAAATACAAAATCAAGCCTTTGACCATTTTCTACGTACATTAGATTCAATGACGTTGAGGTGGAGTTGAGGTTTTGATCCTATTGAAAAGTTTCAGAAAAACTAAACTAAACTAAAACTAAAACAAACTAATAGATTGTTGGCACTTACAGCTTTATTGTGAACTTTTTGGATCTGCGTATTTTTGTCGTGACCTTTGGATGTGGGTTTTCTAATTGACAAAACGTAATAGTGGATGTTTGATTTGAGACCAGATTGATGTTGCCTTCCGTTTCTAAAACATTTTTTCCAATAATTCTACTTTAAACCTGGAACCTCATCTCCTCCCTTTCCTCCAGATACCCCGTCCTGGTCATGGCTCCCCCAGTTCTGCAACCTACGAGACCTACGTCGCCGAGCCCAGCTCCGACAACTGGAGGACTCCAGTGGCAACATGGTCCACATCAAGCAGAAGCTCTACCACAATGGCCACCCAAGTCCCCGCCACCTCTGACTCTAAAAAACTAAAATAAAGAAAAAAAAATCCCCTTTCACAAAAAACACATTGTCCTTTGGCTTTTCTTATCTTCCTAAAAAGGCCAACGATTGCCTCAGACGTCCTGGAAACTGCCCTTCTTCTCTTCATATCTCGGCCCTCTGAACCTCCCCCATGACAGGCCTTTCTCACGACAAAAACCTGGAGCACTAAAAAATGAGAAACAAAAAGCAAAATGGAGCAAGATGATGATGATGAGTATTTGTTGCTACTGAAATCTTGTCTTTTGTCCATGTCCAGCATTGTGGGAGAATGACGGAGGGAAAAAAAAAAACATTTTTAAGGGTGTTTTCTGTATAGAGACATTTTCTGTGTTCATTGTTAAACTTGGCATGCTCTTTTAGAACAGGGTAAGATGTGGGCTGTGTATGGAACCGGGTGGCAAGATAGGTGTCCTGATATTTTTCTCTGACTGGGTGGGAGAGGGACTTTGTTGGGGTGGGGACGGGGTGACTGAGTCTCAGAGGACAGGTGGGTTTTTGTGATAGTTAGATCGCTGCTTCTGTACATAGTTATAAATAATGGGCAAATGAGATTGGACAGTGTTTGAGGGTGGAGGGGTGTGTGGGGGGAGGGGGGTTGACTAGGGCATGATCAATAGGGAAACTAATGATGGAGTGAGTGGGCAGAGATTATAGACGCAAGACAGGAGGATGAGTCTGTCTGCAAAAACTGGATGTGAAACCATGTGATTTCTGCTAAAACACAGATTAATTAGCTTTGTTACTTAGTGAATTACCTGAATGTATTTATTTTTTCTGTAAATATGTGAGGAGTGAGGGGAGCGTGTACAGTTGTGGTCAGGGTTCTCTACGCTGCATTATCACGCTATAGAAGACACACAAGAAAGAGAGAGAGAAATGAACGCCAGCCAAGATGAGTCAGTACAACATACACACGTACACGTACACACACAGGCACACACACAGATGCCCCGTCTTTACCCACACTGAGCTCAGCAGCACAGTTCAATTTTCTTTGTCCAATTCCCTCTCACTCATCAGGAGCCAACCAGCCTATCAGCAGAGGGAACCCTCACCCGGCCCCCCCTCGCCCTCTCTGTCCAGACATTGCTGTTGTGAGGATGAAATGTCTGTTTTATTAAAAGTGCCATTGAAGCACAACAGTGACCTCTGATGTTTGGTTGTGTCATTTTCCGTCATGTGAGGTTCATACGGTGTGTTGCTGTAAGGCTAAGGTTTGATCCAGTTGACACAGGGAAGGGAACAACCTAACTCCTCAGTCTGAAGTTAACAGAAAAGAAATCCAGACCAATGATCAGTTACTGTACTTTAAACCACAAATGACAAAAAACACCAACGCCAGTCTGTTAACGAGAAAAAAAACATGCCTTTGTTATGTTTTTACAACATTACAAAGCAGTGAGTCCCCTGTTGTTCTAGTGGAACCAGGAGTGTTGAACCAAGGGAAGTTGAATTCTTAGATTAAGGAACTACAGTTTCCATATATGGTAAGTGACTTCCTCAGTAACTATCAGGTTTGACTTGACTTGACTTGTTTAGCCTGTTAACCCTCCACTCAGTGTAGTCTTTAGTAGACCATCGAGACAGCTGCTTTTTTTTTTCAAATGCCAGCTTGAACCTGAGGTAAGAAAATGAGATTACTAAGACCTGGAAAGTGACCTTTTCAGTCATAGTGATGACCTTTTCAGGCTCTGCCACACACAGTGAATAATGTAAGACAGCTTGTTGCTCTGCTACCAGGTGCAGTCGAGGAATGCAGCAGGAAGATTTCTGTGGTTCTCAAAGATGCTCAACTGTAGTGAATCAGTAGCACAGCATCCATTTCATTTTGAGTATTGGAATAATCACCAACATACTCTAAGTATGACCTTAATATTTGAAAACATTCCTACTCTTTGAATCTACATTGTGTGAAACCTGCCCATCATTGTTAATCTCTTAAAGTCAATATATAACAGCCGACAGACATTTCAGTAATAATTAATTTATCAATTCAAAGAAAGCTGGTGTTGGCCCAGTTAAAGACCTTTGTGCGTATGAGTGCAACAGCCCATCTGTCCAGATGGCAAAGAGAGATGTAAAAGGCTGTGGTAGAATAGAACAAAGAGAAAAAGATAAGAAAAAAGGGATTCGGATTTTAAATATAATATAATCTCTGTAGAGTTATATGGAAAAGAATCCCCCCAAAAAGTAGTCATTCTATTTTTAACAATTCTGGCAAATTTATTATAGAAAATGCTAGTTCAATATGTCCTTGACTGGTACAGGTAACCTGGTGGTCCCACAGACATCACGAACATTGAGCCACTGCCAATACACTACTATGGCATCCCCGCTGTAACACAGTCCTCCTGCTGCCAACACATTCAATCCAGAGACGTGTAAGACGTGCGGGGGAGGCAGCATACACACATGCAGGAACACAGTGTACACTATATCAAGTCAAGACACCAGATCTTCTCATGTGCTTCAAGTGTGACAAAGAATAACAAGGCACGGGTTCACCATTGCAGTCAGCTTTTCCCAACCAGTGACGAAGCCCATAATTCCTTCCCTAAACACTGCTCCTGCTGTCCTGCCAGGAGTAAAACACAATTATCACCCTGACTGCCTCCGCCGTGGCAGCTACATTCACTGCTGCCCTCTGGGAGTTTTGTTTAACAGCCTCTCACAGCTGAGGCAGATTGTAGAAGATAGCATGCCAGTTATTCTGAGGATTAGGGGCAAGGGATAAGGACATTTCTTCCCTCCTTTACCTTAAAAGATTTGAAACAGTTTTCAGTGTTCAGCAGCCTTCAGGTGATCATTTCCCTCATCTGCTTTCTCTTGTTCTACCTGGCGAAAGCTGAAGTACATCCACTTCATATTAAAACTTCATCCTAGATTTAGTCACAGATCTAGGAAATGTTTGACAATAACATGTCTTCTCTTTCCATTTCTCCCTCATCTGGGGGTCACCACAGTGATGGTCATAAGCCCTTCATGATATAATCCCCTTCATTTGTGCTGTAGAAATGCTGCATGGCAGGAAATAGTCTGACCAGATGAACAGCTATAAATATTTAGTTTCTTCATAAAACTACAGTATCCTTCTAATATTCTACTATACAAAAAAAACAAAAAAAAAAAAAAAAAAAAAAAAAAGAATCCAGAGCTTTTAGGATCCTAAAGGTGTTGTACATGTTTCAATATTGAAACATACAGAAGACAGGACCAAAGACATACTGGCCAATATCTAATAAAGGATAACTGTTAAAGTAAACCCCTTTTTTTTAACTCAGACTCAAAGGATACAAATTAAAATTAAAGATTGCTGCTTGTCGTGGCCAAATAGTTTTGAAAACAAAAATTCTGCACTTAGCAATGTGAAACTGCTGTCTTGGTGATTTTTATTACTTTCTCCATTAAATGTCTGACAATGTGAAGTTTACTCGCCCCACTGTTTTTGACAAAGTGACGTCACTGATTACGCCTGCTTTCCACTTGCAGGTCCTATGAAACGGAGTGAAATTGCATTACCTAGAAGGTTTACAGTGACACTTGGTGGACAAAACTGAGAACAACAGCGTCATGCAATCTGTACAAATTGTTACACTCGCATCGAAGTCACAGTTGTAGTAATACCTACAAACAGAAAAGCCGACCTGTGTTTTGGCCTAAGCACGGCGGCGAATGTCGTTTTCATTTTTATTTGCTGGACTGTTGTGACGTTATACTTTGGGGCGGGGCTTATAATCGAGCACCGAGTTTTATTTTTATTTTTGCTGCACTGTATGTAACAACAAACGTTTAGTTGTGTTTTAGAGCAGAACTTCATTCAATCACAAAGTCCATAGATACACATTTAAAAACAATACATGTTAAATTACAACAGTAACTCTTAGCTTTATTTTGACACTTTAGCTAAAGATATGCATACTCATACATACTCACAACACTACTTCTGTCAACATGTGCTCACAGGATTCAACAAAGGTCCCATCATCAGGAGTGGAACTTGGTTAAACCTCTTCTTTTGGCCTGAAATAAGATGAAATAAAGACAACATTTCATACAAATGCTCTCAGATGACTACACCATGTGTTTAGCACTAGCATTTTACAAAACATTTCAATTAACCACTACCATCTACTTAAGCAAACCACTCATTTGCTTTGTGCCACTACTTGTACTAGTAAAAACTTCACATTCAAGTAACAAATAAAAATCCTTTATTTGGACAAAGTCCACACCCCCATGTCCTCCTCTTTCTCCTGCTCTATCACTTCTGCAAAGACAAATAAAGTAAATGCAATTACATTGCTATTCGCACAACACAACACAACACGCCCGGCAGAATACTGCTCCTTCACCAGTGAAAAGAACCAGCGATGGAAATACATACCGTTGTAATAACAGCAAACTTTTTTCACTGTGCCTTCACACATCACCATTTTGCAACTGCCACAGGGCTGTATTTCCAGTTCTTTCCACTTTTAACGGCCACGACTGCGCCTCGTTATCCAATCACAAGCGTCCTGCACGACCCCAGGTGACAGTGCGGGCTCATTAGTTTGTCAATGAGTAGATACACACGATCACTGCACACTATTGTCAGTGCAGCTATAGAAAAAACCCAGCAACTGTTATACTGAATTATGCTGCAAATACTGATCACATCAAATGTGTGCAAATGTTTCCAAAAATGGCCAAGAAACACTAGACGAAGCAGCAACTCGTTTGTCTGAAGCTTCATTGCTCTTACTGTCAAGAAATATGAAATGGGCGCTCTCCTCTGGTTGTAATAATTCATGGTTGGATTCAAATCTGGCTCAGATCTCAGCTCGTCATAACTAGGTCACCTTCCCCAGATCAGAACTCTCCGTTCACTTAGCCATGTTAAGAAGGCAGGCCTCCAGTTAAGAAGAAGAAAAATGAATGGTAAAGGTGAACCAACCAATCAGATAGGAGAGAGTGGATGTGCCCTATTAAAGGAAAATCATGCATTCTAAGCATTAAGGAACATGGGGGAGTTGTTTCATAATAATAATAACTTATCATTTCATACCATAATATAGTGGACTTTTTTATATATTCTCTATATTCTATATACTCTATATTCAAACAGCTATTGAATATATCATAAGTACATAAGAACAACAACAATTGTTTTATATTTTGATTTTTATATATTGAGGAGGAGGAGTTCCTGGAGGAGGAAGAGGCTCTTAGAGCAGGAGACCAGGTTGATGAACATGACAAATCAGATCTGACTGAAAAGGAGGGGAAAAATTCCTAATTAAATTCAAAATGGTATCTTTTCAGCATATTTCTCATATTTATTTATTTATATTTATATTTATTTAGCATATTTTTTTTAAATGTTATTTTGTGTACGTGTTTCATCATAGAGCATTTTGAGAATTATTTTAAAATTTATTTTTGGAAATTTGTCAGCAAAATCCTAATGTAGTATGTCATTCTCAGTTAGATATTGTAAAATTCTAAATTTAAAATGCTACATTAATAAATCTCTGAATTGAATCCATGTAAAAGGACATTAATATGTATTTAAAGGCAAATTATTTTTTATTCTTTTTTGAGAAACCTTTATTTTTCAATGCTTTTCCAGGATCTCATTAGTATAATGTTATTGTGATCAATGGATGACGTCCGAAAATATATTTGTTTTCTGAATTTTAACTATATTAAAGGACATTGCCACATATTTTAAGGTGAATTAATGCATTTTTATTCATTTTTGAGAGGCCTTTTATTTTTAAAAACTTTTTATTTAAAAGCCATTAGTGTGAACTTCTACAGTAATAACTACTTACAGGTTAAAGTGAAGAGAGAATTATTAAGGTATGGTGTGTTTTTAACACAGCATTTATTTCCAAAAAAATAAGGAAACATCAGTTCAGACAAAATATTTGAGCAGGTAAAATATGCATGTCATACAAAGCTTATAAAGGTGTAGTTTGTCCAATTGATAAAATGAGTCTGGACAATAAATAATGTCCTCTGAGTTGATGTCATGGACAACGGTCTAGAGTTTTGTCAACATTAAAATCAATCGTGAATGATTCTGTATTTTTGGCTCTGTTATTTGTTTTTAAACATCACTCCATTTGTTTTAAATAAAAGTTATTTTTTTCTATTTTAACCAATATAGCTTTATTTCTATAGTTCTGTCTTCCATAAATAAATTATTTCTCTCTGTATCAAAAAAGAGAATTCAAATATAAGAACAGTTCATTGTGTTTGTGTGCTCTAAATGTATAGAAAACACACACACGCACAACACAGTGAAATTACATTAAATTCAATCTAAAAGTGAATTGCAGCAAGTCAGGAAATATTTTATCTCTAAAAATATACACAGCCTCATATCCCCCTGGTGGCTTGATTGAAATACGCATTTCTTTTCAAAACAACATTAACTTAAAATTGGGGTTTGATAATAACGCAAACATATGTACACAAGGTGTGCCTTTATAATATACAAGAGTCTAAAAGTTTAAAATGTAAAAAGCTATTGTATAAAAAATGATGGCAGTGATCCATTCATTCGTATTCTGTGGTATAAATATGTCAGATCTTTTTCTGATTTGATTCCTTGGCAGTAGCTTTAAACAAAATAGAGACTTTTTTCTCCATTTTAATTCAAACATTGTCTCCAAATGTCCAGGTGGAGAAATATAAGGAGCTCTGACCACAACAGTAGAGCCTGAGGGAACCTTGAAGGAGGATCCTTCACCACAGAAAGGCCATGATCACCATGTGTCACTCCATAGTGGTTTTGTAAAGAACCACAGTCCACTGTACAGACTGTGCTGCAGTGACAAAATCATCACACCACAGTGTGAAAACACATATATCTCAGTAGAAATCCAAAGCACCTGCTGCTTCTTGAAGACCAATGTAAAATGAGGAGCGGCCCACTCTGTCAGACGTCGCCCTCTACAGGTAATTAGAGGCCACAAAGCCTTGACTATGGCTGACTCTGCTCTGATGGATCATGGCGCGGTCGTAGGCCACCTGGACAGACTTGCGGATGCTGGCCTTGCGCCCCTCCATTATACGCAGTTTGTCGTCTGTGTCGTCTATGCCCAGAGGTGTCACCTTGTCACGTGGGAGCCACTGCCTGCAAGAGCAAAGACAGAAGGACCAGAGTGTTGAAGCCATTTAACATGGACAGTTTTGTATGTCAGCAGGCACCAGTACAGGATTAAAACTGAGCCAGCCCTGTGTACAGAGTTTTTCCGTTTGACGTGGAAAAAGGTATTTGGTTTGATTGTTGTCGTTACACCCACTGAACTTAGAGGGTGATGCACTTTTAAACCATACTAACAAGGAAGAAACACAACCAAGGGTTAAGTCAAGTGTTTACAAGTTGGAATTCTAGAAGAATGAGGGGTTGGGGAGGTTGGGATCAGGTCCATGGAAGCTTTCAGAATCTGCTTGGAAGGACGAGTGCAGCAATGGTGAAGAACAAATCTATAGCTCACCATGTTCTCTTGTTGTCAAAGAAAAGCACCAGGTAGAGTCTCTCATTGGTCTCCTCCTGTCTCTGCTCCCCCAGATGGAGAACGTCTTTTGGTGGGACAGGGATGGGAACCCCGTTGTGCAGCATGCCCTCCTCAGGCATCTCTGGGTCAATGATCTGTGGAGAAAAAAAAAATTCAGACAATGTCAACTTCTAAATCATTTTAGAATTTAGATTAGAATATATATTTATAATTATAAATACAATATGATCTATAAACTGCCAAAAGTGTATCATAGTAATTTGGATGGAGTTTCTGTCAATTTGAAAATAACCCTCTAAAGTCTTTTCATTTTATCATCAGCTCTAAAACTATGGTTTGGTTTAAAAAAAAAAAAGAGTCCATACTTTCAATTTAATGAATTAAGAAATTACCAGAGCAGGATAGGAAGGATATCCTCGACTCTTGGCCCACACCAGATCCAGAGGCTCCAGCTCCGTCTCATCCTCTGAAGTTTGGCTGCAATTCCCTGAAAATCAGCACAGACATCAAAAAAATTCAGTGGTGAAAATACAGTCAGAAAAAGTGTTTTGACAAATGAACCAACAGATAGAGTTTAATTGATAAAGGATAAGTAGAGCTATTAAGAAAGCAAAAAAACACCAGTGTAATCGGAGTCTCCATTGACTATCTCTGTGTAGGGCACTTTGGACAGAG